AAAAGAGGTGAAGTACCCCACGTGGTTGGCGAACGTCGTCCTCGCACCAAAGCCGCCCACGTTCAGAATGTGTGTTGATTACACTGACCTGAACAAGGCGTGCCCAATGGACCCATTCCCTCTCCCCAACATTGATCAGTTGGTGGACGAGACGGCGGGGTGCGAGTTGATGTCGTTCCTCGACGCGTTCAGAGGGTACCACCAGATATCCATGCATGAAGATGACGCGGAGAAGACTGCTTTCATGACCCCGGAGGGAATTTTTTGCTACCTCGTCATGGCCTTTGGGCTCAAGAACTCCGGCGCCACCTACACAAGGATGGTAGCCCGGATTTTTAGAGCAGTCTTAGGTCGGACGATGGAAGCATACGTCGACGATATGATCGTCAAGAGCAAACAATCCACAACCCATGCCGACGACCTCCGGGGCATCTTTGAAATCATGAAGAAGTACAACCTCCGGCTCAACCCGAAGAAGTGCACCTTCGGCGTCCAGGGAGGTAAATTCTTGGGGTACCTGGTCAGCCGAAGGGGCATCGAGGTGAACCCAGAAAAGATACAAGCCATTATCAACATGGAGCCGCCCCGCAACATCAAGGAGGTGCAACGGCTGACGGGACGCCTCGCGGCCCTGAACCGTTTTCTCTCAAAATCCGCTGAGAAGTCTCTCCCTTTTTTCCAAATAATGAGGAAGGCCATCAGCTTCAAATGGACGACGGAGTGCCAGCAGGCCTTTGAAGAGCTGAAGCAATATCTCGCCTCCCCGCCCGTCCTATCCAAGCCCCAACCCGGCGAGACTCTCTTCCTTTACTTAGGAGTGAGCACGTCGGCCGTCAGCTCCGTACTCATCAGGGAGGATGACGGGGTACAAAAGGCAATATTCTACGTCAGCAAGACGTTGCGGGAGGCCGAGCTCAGGTACTCCCCTATTGAGAAGACGGTGCTGGCCATCGTCCACACGGTGAAAAAACTTGGACACTACTTCCAAGCTCACCCCGTCCACGTCCTCACGCATCAGCCGTTGGGCGCCCTCATGAGGAGCCCAACCAGCTCTCCAAGGATGATCAAATGGGCGATATTCCTAAGCCAGTACCAGATAGAGATCAAGCCGAGGCCCTCCATCAAAGGACAAGCCTTAGCTGACTTCGTCACCGAATGCACGGCAAGGGAGACGGCCGTTACCACCACAGGAGCTGAACCGGACGAAGCCTGGACCCTCTACACAGACGGGTCCTCGGCCACCAAAGCTTGTGGGGGCGGCGTCGTCCTTATCTCCCCGGAAGGATTCAGAGCATACTATGCCATACGCTTCAACTTCAAAGTATCCAACAATGAGGCCGAGTATGAAGCGCTCCTCAGCGGTCTCAGATTAGCCGCTGGCCTCAAAGCACGCAACGTCAGAATCAAATGCGACTCCAAACTCGTAGTGAGCCAGATGGAGGGTTCCTACGAGGCCAAAGAAGGGAGGATGAAGCAATACAAGGAGGCCGCTGCGGAATTGCTCAAGGCGTTCGATACCTACGAGATCACTCAGATCCCAAGGGCGGAGAACGCCGAGGCCGACATACTCTCCAAACTCAGCTCCGACACCCCTGAGCACATCTCCAAGATAGCTAAGGTGGAGGAGTTGAGCATGTCAAGCATTCATGCTAGCCCTATACTCTCCATCCAACACCAGCCGGAGGACTGGATCACTGACATCGCAACATACATCACCTCCGGCACGCTACCAGAAGACGAGGAGAGGGCCAAAATAGCCAAGCTCAGGGCCCCAAGCTATGTCATTGAGGGTGACAAGCTCTACAAGAGATCTTACAATGGCACCCTCCTCCGGTGTCTACACCAGAATGAGGCCGAAGTGGCCATGGAAGAAGTCCACTGCGGCGTCTGTTCATCACATCAGGGGCCCTTCAGCATGTCGCGCCGCCTCGTCGTCCAAGGCTACTTCTGGCCGACGATGGCGCGCGATTGTGCTGAGGTCGCCCGCAAATGCAGCGCATGCCAACATTATCAAAGGGCACCTGGCAGACCCGCTGTCAACTACGCCCCGGTCAGCACCGCCATTCCATTCTCCAGATGGGGCATCGACCTCGTCGGCCCTCTACCAAGAGCTGCGGGCAACAACAGATACATCATCGTCGCCATCGACTACTTCACCAAATGGGTCGAGGCCGAACCACTCGCAAGCATCACCGGAGCGCGGTGTCGAAAGTTCGTCTACAAGAACATCCTCACCCGCTTCGGCGTGCCTCAGGAAATCATATCAGACAACGGCACCCAGTTTGAGGCCGAGCCGTTCCAGAGCCTCCTCCAAGAATGGGGCATCAAGCACCGCTTCTCCTCCGTTGCCTACCCTCAGGCCAACGGGCAGGTTGAGAACGCCAACAGAACCATCTTGGAGGGGCTAAAGAAGAAGCTGGAAGAAAAAGGCGGAAGTTGGGTCGACGAGCTCCCCAACGTCCTATGGTCCTACCGTACTACGCCGAGGAGGGCCACCGGGGAGACACCATTCTCCTTGTGCTACGGCTTCGAAGCCAAGGCTCCCACTGAAGTCACCCTCCCCAGCCGACGGGTCACACAATACGACCCCGAAGCCAATGAAGAAGCCATGAAGATTGACTTGCACCTCATTGATGAAAGGCGGGAGATGGCTTACCTTCGGGCAGAAAACTACAGACGACAAGTCAAATCCTACTACGACGCCAAGGTCCGCTCTCGCGAATTCCAAGTGGGGGACTACGTCCTCCGCCGAAGGGAAGCAAGCAAACCGACGGAAGGAGGAAAGCTCGCCGTCAAATATGAAGGGCCCTACATCGTCAGCGCCGTCATCAAAGCCGGCACTTACAAACTAAAGAACCCTAATGGGTCAGATGTACCACGATTGTGGAATGTACACCACCTGGTGAAATTTTACCAATGACTCGAGAAGTGGTGAAGCGGGCAACGTCCCCCACCCCTCGGCTGATTGGTTGAATGAAACACCCTCGGCCTAGCGCCACTTATTGAATAAAATTCATGTTTCATCCAATCTTCTAAGATTTGAGCAAAAGAAACCCAAGGACCGCATCGGCCTAAGCGGTGCAATCACCCGGGCCCGGTGCGACCTAAAGCCGTCGCAATAAACGCCGCACCTAAAAGCCGTTGCAATAAACAACGCACCTAAAGCCGTCGCAATAAACGACGCATCCAAAGCCGTTGCAATAAACAACGCACCTAAAGCCGTCGCAATAAACGACGCACCTAAAAGCCGTTGCAATAAACAACGCACCTAAAGCCGTCGCAATAAACGACGCATCCAAAGCCGTTGCAATAAACAATGCACCCAAGGCCGTTGCGATCCACAACGCGCCTACTAAGCCGTTGCAATAAACAGCGCACCTAAATATCGTATCGGCACAAGCGGTGAAACACCCAAATCGGCCGGCGATATGCAGGACGAAGGACCTGTGTGCATGGTCCAACGTCTTCAAACGGAGAAGCATACCGCGTCGTCCGCGCGGAAACCGCAGGACGACAGGCCTGAATTAAGGCTAAGGTTACAAAAACTCCACCCGTCAGTAAAATTTCGCTCAGGACCACAAAGGGCGGCCGTCAAAAGACGATGCCTAGTCCGGTCCCTCGTCGACGATAGACGTGGAAAGGCCAAAAAAGATGCCACTGACACACCAAGCCGAGGGCGTATTTACTCCCTCGCACTAACTCACGCGAAGGGCGTAGCGGACAAACTACCGCACACGGACGAAGGGACAGTAACCCTCCGGCCACTCAAAAAAAAAAAAAAAAAAAAAAAGAGGGAAGCCGACGGACCGTGCACTCGCCGGCCTCGAGCATAAAACAAAATCCCCACAAAAACCAAGCCTCAAATTTGGCTAAGTACATATCAGGTTTTCACTATACAGGGATCCGAAGCGCACGCTTCGGCCCCAACCATAGCGTCACAAAAGGGAATCGCTTCGACTTCAGTTATACAAAACCAGTCCATTACTTCGACGATGGGACGCATCGTCTCCACGAAGCAAAACCCGAGTGACGGACCAAAGCAAAACACCTACATCAAGGAAGCTTGACACTTAGAACATTTTCTAAGTCGCACTACAAGAGAGACGATGTGCTACGTCCTCAACACTTCAGGATTAAGTCCCGAAAACTTGACTCGGGAAAGATGTAAAGGCAAAAATGGAATTCATCAAGGGACGACGAGGCGCATCGTCTTCAAAGAAAGGAGGTCGCTACGTCTCAACGGACGGAGGTCACAAGATAAACTCTTGACACTTAGAAAGATTTCAGAACTTTGGCGCCATGCCTTACCTAAGACGCAAGGGACGTAGCGCCGCGCCAAGAAAAAGTTTCAACACTTGGTAAATTTTTTGAAACATGTTCTAAACACAACAGCTCCGACGAAGGGTCGCATCGTCCCTAAACATCAGATGCAGGGAACACACACAACGTCCTCACACACAAACCAGTAAACCGAAGGTGCGCCCACATCTACACAAAGGAAATGATGGAACGCATCGTCTAAGACTTGGCAAATTTGCCAAGATAAAAACTTACGAAGCAATACCACTCAGACGACGCGACACCGACAAACCAAACGCCAAACATGAAAAAAGGGAAACGAAGCAAGGAACAACATTCATACTTGAACAAAAGTGTTATCATTGATAAATCAAAAAGAGGGCGCTTCGGCCATTACAAAAGGGCGCTTCGGCCGTTGAGATTACTACTACAAACAAAAAAGAAACTAAGTACAAGGACATCAAGCTTCCTGGCCTTGGCCACCTTCAACGGCTCCACTATCGGCATCGTCTTCAACGTCCTCAGTGGTCTTGGACTTGGCCGAGCTCCGGAAGAGATAGTCGTCACTCTCAGTCCAGGGCCCGTCCTCCTCGCTCGAGCTCAGGATGGGGGGCTGCCTTTCGGACAGAGGAAGTTTTAACTCCTCCTCGGGGTCCTTCATGATCCGCGGAAGGCCGATACCCCTAGGCTTCAGGTTCTTTACACGCCGGCGGAGGCGGCGGTAAACCAACATCTGCATACGCCTCTGGCCGAGGTCGTACCAGACTTCAAACTCCTCTTTCAGGCGGGCTCGGCCAGCTTCCTCCTGAGACCACGCCTCGAAGCGCTCCGCCACGACGTTAAAGCTCCAATCGCGGCGGGCATCGTCCTTCCAACCTTCAGCCATGAACAGTTCAATGGCTCTATCAGCAGCCGCTGTCGCATCGGCCTCTAACTTCACGGCTCTTTCCTCTGCCAGCCGACGTGCAGCCGCTTCCTCATCCAGCTGAACTTTGAGGCGCCTCGCCTCGTCCTCAGCCACAACGGCTCTCCTTTCAGCCGCATCAGACTTATCCTTCAGGGAGTCGGTCTCAGTTCGGAGCCGCTCTAACTGGGAAAGCGCCTCGTCAGCAGCAGCGGCTTTCTTCTCAGCCTCCCGAAGGCGAGCAAGCTCCTCCACCTGCCGGCGCTGCTGCTCCATCAGCATAAAAGCCCCCTGCAGAGACAAATAATGGTCAGAAGAGGAAAAGAATGCAAAAATTACTAAGTACAAAAGTCGGGACTTACCTGGACGACGTAGTCCAAACCGCCATCGAAGAGGCGCACATCCTTGCTCTGCCGCCGCAGGTACTCCCTGTCGGCATCGGGAATGGCCTGGAACAAGACGTCGTGGCCAGACACCTTCTCGTTAAAAAGCCCGCCCTTGGTCGGGTACCGCACCGTCACCTCATACAGGCCGGTAGCCGGATCTCGATCGGCGCGAGTGCTTCCCTTGGCAACAGCACCAAATTTGGTGGGGACTACGGCGGACGAGGCGACATTCAAAGTCAGATCCTCGATAACTTGCACGTCGGAGACAACTTCCCCTTGAACCGACGCCTGCGCATCGGCCATTGCGGCATCAAGGAGAGGAGGGTTCCGCTTCGACTTTTTGGCACCCTGGGCCGGTATCAGACCCGTCTCGGCAAGGGTACGCTGACCCTCCTCAACGGCCTTCTTCCTCTTCACCACTGGCTTCTTCGCCGCGTCGGCTTGGGATTTGGTCCCGTCACCAGAAACCTTGGACGCTTCGGCCTGTTGAACGGCCTCCATCTCTTTGGCAACCATTTTCTTGGCCTGAGCCATGAAAAGCTTGCGACTCATCTCAAAACCTGCAGATACGATACAAAACAAAGAGTCAGAAACAAAAGGAAAAGAAGCTAAGTACACAAGGATTAAAGAAAAGCTATCAACCTTCGGCCTCGGCCGGGATCCCAATAGGTGGCCCATCGGCCTGCTCAAAGTAACCGGACATCTTCGGCCACAAACCACAGTCAGGATCGCCTGGTATGTAGTAGCGCATCATTCCAAGGGCCGCAATCTTGAACTCAGTAATATAGGTGTTGACGCTCCGCGGCCCACCCTTCAGGAACGCCTCCACCTGAGCATCGATCTCAGCGCTCTTCGGCGGAGTGTGCAAGTTAAAAAGCCCATTATGGCCTTGAGAGGGAAAGAAGACCCCGTCGGCCAACTTCACAAAGCAGAATTTGCTTTTCCACCCGTGGATGGACGAAGGGAGATCTATGAAGGACCTTTTCTTCGGCAACTGTTGTAGGGCCGCGTACCCAGCACAGTTCTCATGACTTCCCCGGCCGATACGGTACAAATTCATGAACAACGCCGTCGTCGGTTCAATACCGAGTTCATCGCATCGGATAAGGAACCCAACAATAAGAGAATAACTGTTCGGGGTCAATAAAGCCGGAGGAAGATCTATCATACGAAGATACTCCACAACGAAAGAAGGGAGAGGGAACCTTAGACCTTGGGAAAAACTCATCGGATATACTCCGAAGTAACCAGGCGGCGGATCCAGGACGTGGTCCGTCGGCCTCGGCGCCCTGACCGTACCATAAGGTCCGACGTAGAGTTGTGCCACCTGATAGTCACCCTGGGACCCCTCCGGCCTTATAATATAAATGTTGGTCAAATCCAACTGTGACATACTGCTTGACAACCCCGCCCGACGACGCGACCTACGCTTCTTGGGGTCAGACGAAGACGAAGCAGCACCAGGGACCGAAGTAATCGGAAGAGGACAAGGAATAGCGGCCGAGGATGCATCACCCGCATCGTCGCCACGAAGTTTAGGGTCAGAGCTCGCTTCGTCCTCACCAGAGTGTTGAGCACCCGCATCGGGACTCAAACGCTCCTCGTCCACGGAAGTGCGATAATCCGCAGTGTTCTCCATTTCAATCTCAAAAGCCTCCACCACTCTCAAATCAACCCCAGGAGATGTGTCCTCGTCGTCAAAAGGCCAGTCGGATTCGTTCAGCGAAGCTGTCAAATCAATAGGGGAAGGGACGCTACGGCCGTCAGGGGACGGCATAACAACTACCGCTACGTCCAAAGCGTATTTTTCGAATCAAAGTGACTTTCCTAAACACTAGATCTAACACCCTAAGGAGCAAAAAATGAAGAAATCAAAGGAAAATCAAGAATATCTAACCTTAGGGGTTTTGAAGAATGCGACGAACACTTGTGAAATCTCGGGACTTTATCTCTCTACAAAAACTCGGACAGCAATTCGACAACAGCAAGGCACAAATGAAGAGGTGACTTCGGAATGGGGGGGTATTTATAGAAAAATTCCAAACGGTCACTACACGTGGCGCCATCCCATTGGCTCCACCAACGGCCACCTCTCTTACAACCAATCAAGGGGCGCCAATTCAAAATCACCCAAGCTAGCACCCCTACGGCCCAACTCAGCCTTAACAAAGAACAGGGCATCGGCCGAGCACCACTACGGCCCAATTACTACAAAGCTCCCGAAAAGGCATCGGCCCATTCTCCCGAATAAGCAACGCATCGGCCTAAACTCGACGTCCTCACAACAACCCAAAGAACCTTAAATAGACCGCTACGGCTGCTTGTGCGCGCATCGTCGATGATAACCCTGGCATTGCGGCCTTCGTCCAAGGGTTCTCCCACAGGGTTACCTTGGACAGGTTCGCCTAAGGGTTGGAGTCACGACCAACGCATAGGTATCGGATCGGCTCATTACTCCCTTGTGCCTCAGATACTCTTCGGCCAAAGGAGTGGGGGACTGGGGGACTGTATCGGCTACAAAAAGAGAGAGCGCAACGACCAATAACAAAAGATCGCATCGGCCATCAAAATACTAAGGATTGCGTCGGCTATAAAATCACTAAATCAGCGCGCATCGGCTTATTCGCTAGCAGTGCTACGGCCACCAATACAAGAGGATCGCAACGGCTGCGTACACTAAGAAGACCGCATCGTCTCACCATAACAAAAACTCACAAGTCAAAAACGCTTCGGCTGCATGACAAATCAAAGGTGCGCATCGTCTACATAAACAGAATCAACCATCTTCATCTCATGAAAATAGGCCTTCGCCACGGCCAAAAGGATAAATGGGAGCTCTTCGGCCCCAACAGGATAACGACGAAAGCATGCCAACTTATCCACCAAGGATTCATCGCATCATCTACAAAAAGAAAGCGCATCGCCTCGTCTTCAAGGGCACTCCCACAGAGTGTGCTTCGGCCCGCATCAAGACTATGAGTTCCCAAGCACGCTTCATCTACATCAAATAAGGGAACCGCTTCGTCCAAAATCAAAACAGGAACTCTTCGGCCATCAAACGCCCTGGGCTCACGCAACGGCCAGCCAGAAAGGAACAAAGTACTCCCTTTCGCTTCGGCTTCACCTCAGCTCAGAGAGTGGGGGACTCCTGATAGAGTATATGGGCTTGGACCCCATGGCCCACATACTCAACGGCCCAAAAGACACCAGCGTGACACCCGCATCGGCCGTAGGCACGTGACGCCCAAGAGAGAAGATATCGCCTGATTTCTATGGACCGCATCGTCAGTGGACCGCGCCGTCCATGGACCGCATCGTCCATGGACCGCATCGTCCATGGACCGCATCGTCCATGGACCGCATCGTCCATGGACCGCATCGTCCGAACTTCGTCCGGGCAGAATGCATTTTCCTATTTTTTGTACTAAGTGTTGTACTCAGCCCATTAGTGGCCTTATTCGCCCAAAGAAGGCATGATTATTGTAATGGGCCTCCTAAGCCCAAGGCTAGGGGCCCAAATCTACATTTTTACCTATAAATAGACCCCAAGGGGCTAATTATAGGGGATTCTTTCCAATTGGAGAAATATAATTACTCACTTTCTCTCTCTAGCTCTCACTTCCCTCTAGGATTAATACGCTATCAAACACCAATCATGCGGGTCTATGTCTTATGGCACTCTCCGACGAGGAATCCGACCAAGAAAGCTTTGAGGTAAACTTTGAAAACTTTCTATCCAAGTTTGACTCTCTATCCAAAACCAAAACTCGGAAGATTTTCAAAAGATTGACTATTGAGCTTAATGAAAGCCTTTCCGAAAACGATCATCTTAAATCACGTGTCACTGAGCTTGAGTCTAAACTCGAGGAAGCCACAAGAGCCAAAATAAGGCTTGAAACAAAAGTGGGAGAGTTAATAGATGAAAGGCTTAAGTACAGTGAAGTGGTTCTAGAACAAGATCAAATTATTTGCTCTCTTAAGCTCGATAGTATGAACAAACAAGTTGATCATGATGAAAAGCTTCTCTCAAAAATACCGAGTGTTGGTTGTTTAATTGATCATCTTCATCGTCTTGTTGCCGAGTGCACTGATTTTAAAAATAGACCGGAATATCAATCCTATAGTGCAACGAACAAAACCAGGTCTAGACATCATTCTGGAACTGGTCCTTCTCAGCACAATAAGAAAGTAAACGAGACTGCAGGTCTCGGATATGTTCCAAAGGATATTCGAGCTAATCAAAAATCAAATTTTCAGAACCAACCCTTTAAGGATAATAGAACCCGAGGACAACCCAGTTCTAGACCATATCAACAGCCACCTAGAACTGGACCAAACTGGTTCGATAGATTGGTTCAGAGGCACAAAAACGGTTATGGACAAACGCCTAACCGGACTTTTTACAAAAGAACTAGAGGCTTTCACGGTAAATGGAAACCCAAATACGTTGATACTTATGATAACCGAGTTTGCATGCATTGTGGCAAAATCGGTCATCTACGGTATCAATGTCACTCTCGGCAAAAGACTTTAGAAAGATGCTATGATCATGTTAGATATTCCTCAAACAATTACAAAATGGAACCCAAGCAAGTCTGGGTTCCACGCGCTAACCCTTAATCCTGGAACAGCGCCGAGTGAGGGGGAACAATCACTGGTTCCTTGACAGTGGTTGTTCTAAGCACATGACGGGAGACAAATCTTTATTCCTCTCACTACGGCCATTTAGCGGTGGAAAGGTGACATTTGGAGACAACGGCAAAGGAGAGATCATAGCCGTGGGCAAAGTTGGAAAGTCACCTAGCCATGCTATTGACAATGTATTTTTAGTCAAGGGTTTGAAATTTAATTTACTAAGTATTTCTCAATTTTGCGATCGAGGTAATAGTGTTGTTTTTGATCATAACGTTTGTCGCATTGTTAATAACGAATCACAACAAGTTATACTTGAAGGCAAGAGGCTCGAAAATACATATAAAGTAGATCTTGATTCATTGCCTAATATTAGTATGACTTGTTTGAGCGTTATTGATAACGATCCTTTGCTATGGCATAAAAGGCTTGGACACGCTAGTTTTTCATTAATAAATAAACTTAAAAATAATGATTTAGTTATTGGACTGCCGAACATGAAATTTTCACTTGACCATGTTTGCTCGGCTTGTGCCACCGGAAAACAATCTCGATCATCTTT